ACGTTGCATTATGGCTATCTGCTTTACTGATAGTAATGCTATTAATGAGGTCATTAATATTACAATTGTTATTAGTATTTATTAGGCTAAATACCGAATTGGGCCTCCAGTGTCACTGTTATATAGCCTACATTAAGCGTTTTAAATCTTAGCAAAACCGTGCCTTAAACTATAAGCAAAGCTGACTGTATTTGAACTTGAGTCCAAGTTTAAAATAAAACTCTATGAACCACTCCATTATGAACGTATGAGCTGTATGAACCACTAACTTACAAGCTGTAAAGTAAACGGGAAGTGTTTGTCCGAACTCGACTGGTTTTGCGAAAGAACGCAAAGTTTCTCGAGGGAACGCAAAAGTTTTGCGAGAGAACGCAAAGTTTCTCGAGGGAACGCAAAAGTTTTGCGAGAGAATGCAAAAAAAATTTCCTCCCACCCCGAATTTTTTCCCCACCACCATGTCCCTTTAGGGGCTCCGTACGAAACTCCTTTGCTTCACATATGTATCTTTCGAACGAAATACTGCTTTCGAACGGAATCTATAGAACGTGAAATGTTTTAATAATGAACCAATTCAAATAGAAAACAAATATTCTCCGATTATGTAATCCGTATGAAACGTGTATATTGCGTGTCCACCGCAGAGATGACTATTAAGCATCGTTAACTTCATCACTTTTTAGTTTATCAATAAATTATTAAAATGGTAAGGTAGTCTCCTTGCTGTTTTCCCCGAAACGTTAAATTATTTTATTTATTTTAATGTAAGCAATCAGAAATCAGGGGTAGGCCCCCTTGTGGCAGCCACTGCTTAAGAAAATCGTTGTTGTTTTTTTGTGTATCGATGCGAATCAGTTGAAGATATAACCCCCCCCCCTAACTAACAGTAATATTAATTATGCATTAAATTAATTAATTAATTGGATTGCAAACTGCACATTTCTTTGAACATGTGCTTGAAGTCATTGTCTGATTGGCAGGCAGTGCTGGACAATGTGCCTCAGAAGAACCTAGGAGGTGTGCTGGAGACCATGAAGCCCTCCCGAAGCTCAAGCCCCAACCATTCACTTGCCAGCAACAGGTATCCTTTAACAAAGATTTATTAAAGTCAACATCAATTAAAAATTGACCCTTTTTGCCAGTGGTTCCCAATCCTGGTCCTGCAGAACCTCCAACACTGCTCATTTTAGATGTCTCCCTAATCAAACACACCTGATTCGAGACCTCAAATGTGTGTCGGAGAAGAGAGACATCAAAAAAGTGCAGTGTTGGGGGTTCTCCTGCTTTATGCAAATGAATAAAGAGAGGACACATGTGAATGGTTTCTATGAATCCATTGTTTTGACTTTGATATTAGGTCTTGGTATGGAAAGACATGAAAAATGCCTTATTTTTTACTGTTCTCTCACTCAACTTTTCCAATCTTTTATTTTTTGTGAAGTTCTTTTTCAGGTCGCCCGCTGTGCAGCGGTATCACTCGGCTGGGTCAGCCATGCAAAAAGAGGGCTCTGGTGGGTCAGGACTACTGTAGACTACATGAGGGTGGCCACACCTCCTACAGTCGACTCTGAAATGGATTCAGCATTTCTTGTCTAATAATGGACTTCATTTCTGTTTCCAGAAGTGTTTGCAGAATGTACATTGAATGCTAGAGCACTTTTGTCTTAACTACTTAATCGTGGTAGTTTGTCTTTTTGGTCACAGTGGGTTTTATTTCATGTTTGTTGTAGTGCCACTTATAGATGTAGTCTGCATTGTTTATAATACATTATGTAAAGTAAGATTGAGATGCACGCTTTTAAATTTCCATGTACTTATAGATTTCACCATACTGTCTGCAAATGCATTATATGTCTTACAAGCATTTATTAAAGCTTTTTTTTTTTTTTTTAAGAAAACGTTCTAGTAAATGAAGTGTGTCTTCAGAGTGCATTCGTTTATCAAGTTATCGACTACGAGGGAGAGAGCATTCCCATTCAAGTATTAAAGACTCGCAAGTATGCATGGCCTGTTACTGCCCTGTTTCCACCTGGTATCAACATGAAAGAGTCCTGGTTGTTTGAAACCTCTTCCATTTAAGAATTATGGAGGCCACTATGCTCTTGGGAACCTTCAATGCAGCAGAAAGCATGTCTCCTGCGGGTAGTTCCTTTTAAATGCTTTTTTTTTTTTTTTTTTTTGTATGTGCATAACTTGCAAGGCACTGTGTGTTACACCATACATGAGTTTTACATAATTTTTCAAAATGAAATCAGGAACTCTAACATCAATACTGAACTCGTGTTTCTAGCTCAGATAGAAGTAAAACTGAGGTTGTGGGTTTATTTTCCAGGGAAGGCATGAGATGTTAGAATGTACAGCTGCAACAAATAGATTGGGATCTGCAAGCCATCGTTTAATATAATTATTTTGTGCTTTAACAATACGTGGGGGAAAACGTTATACAGAATTAAAAAAGCAATTTATAAAAATTGTGCTGTGGGATGTTTTCTGAATATATGCCTTCCGTCTCTCCATATTTTTTTCATTCCAATGTATTTAGTTATTCTTGAACTCTCCTAAGCATTTTTTCCCCCTCGACAAGACTAATGGCACCCCACCGTTATATGAATTCTAATAATACATTCTCTGAATGCAGTTTCTTCTGACTTTTCTCTCTTTAAAATTATATGTATTGGCAACAACTAGGAAAGTCGTCATTTAAATGATGCAATCTCTAAATTGAAGTAATCTGGGCAGTAGCGGCCTGTAGCGAGGAGGTTTCCTCGCGGCTCTTCCAGCGGAGGATTTATGGGCGGTTTGTTTAGTTCTCGCCAGTCTCCCAGACTTCCTGACTACGGTCTAAAACAGAACGCGGAATAACAGCCACGCTTGTGCAGCAGCGCTTTAAACACTACAGCGGCAATGCTGTGGCGTTTTAATGGCCAATGCGTTTATCACGTGACCAACGGCTGTGCGTTTTTAAACAAGTGTATAATTGTTTGCAAATTATGAAGTACATAACAATAGCGCTAGTAACAGTTACCCAAACCTTCATTGTAAGATGAGACAATGGAGCACGACACAGCGTTTAATTACAATCGCACTTTTAAAAGAGAAAGTGGGTGGCTCTGAAAAGAGCCTTTGGGAGTTTTGTGTATTCTTCGGTTTATTTGGTCTTAGCGGGCTTCTCGGTCTTCTTGGGCAGCAGCACGGCCTGGATGTTGGGCAGCACGCCGCCCTGAGCGATGGTCACTCCGCCCAGGAGTTTGTTCAGCTCCTCGTAGTTTACACATCAAACACAAACACTCTTTACAGCTTTCATAGTAAGGTTTTATTTTTTGTTAATGAAATATTCATTAGCTCTTTGGTTTAAATGGTTGTGCAAAATAATCTTCCAAGTGTTCATGGCATTTGCAATTACCGACACACAACAGTTGTCAATTATCTGTCTGATAAAACGTATTTATTTCAAAAGTGTATTATGTCTCCACTGACGGAACAAACTAAGAAAAGTGCTCTCTGGTAGATAAAATGGGTGGCTCTGAAAAGAGCCTTTGGGTTTCAGGAACCGACTGGAATCCGCTTATTTGGTTTTGGCGGGTTTCTCGGTCTTCTTGGGCAGCAGCACGGCCTGGATGTTGGGCAGCACGCCGCCCTGAGCGATGGTCACTCCGCCCAGGAGTTTGTTCAGCTCCTCGTCGTTGCGCACCGCCAGCTGCAGGTGACGGGGGATGATACGGCTCTTCTTGTTGTCCCGAGCGGCGTTTCCAGCCAGCTCCAGGATCTCAGCCGTCAGATACTCGAGCACAGCGGCCAGATACACCGGAGCCCCGGCACCGACGCGCTCGGCGTAGTTACCTTTGCGGAGAAGCCTGTGAACACGACCGACGGGGAACTGCAGCCCTGCTCTGGAAGAGCGAGTCTTAGCCTTTGCTCTGGCCTTACCGCCGGTTTTGCCTCTTCCGCTCATTGTCAGACCGTTGTAACCTTCACAAACACTCAACGCAGAAATATTAGAACTTCCGCCTGACAACCGCTTTTAAGAGACCGTGTCCGTCTTCTATTGGTCCGAGGCTGCTACAGTTGCAAACCAATCACTGCACGTCCCTCGAAATTCCAAACCCCTCCCCTCTTCTCTCTGTACGGGTCCTCATTCGGCGCCGTCGAGAGCCCAAACAAACAAGTACTAAAATATATACTTTCAGAAATTCAGTACAAACCATTCCGGTCATATAAATGTTTCTATCACGCACCCAACCCTTACACTTACCCATAACCCTCACAGAAACCTGCATTTAAATATAATCACGTGATGGCCCATTTATAAACCCTTTTTAACTAGCGAGGTCCGACTCATTACTAGGGATGGGCCATACCACTTATTTTGTTTTCGATACGATACCGATATTTTTCAAGGCAGTATCGTCGATATCGATACCGATTCGATACTTCTGAACTAAACTTTTAAATTATGAAATTTATTAAATTATTAAATTACTAAGAGTAAAATGGGTAATGATAAGCACTTAACTTTATGTTTAAAACACATTTTAACATTCAATATGCCTTAATTGTAACTTATTAGGTTATATTTTTGTTTACACATGGTTCAAATATGTTTTTTGTTTACACATGATTCATGATTCCAAATGTTCTGTCTTGCAACATTTGCATGTGTTCAGATGGGCAGGAAAATAGTTCTATCCTACACAATTATTCGCTAACAAAGGTTATTCGTCCAATTCAATGCATATTGTACGCATTATTATTTTTTTGTTAAATAAACAAAATCACTGGTAAATAAAAAAACACCTTAGTATCGATATTTTTTGTTTGAGTATCGATACTTTCGATACTCGCATCAGTATCGATATATCGATACTTCGGATCGATACGCCCATCCCTACTCACTACTCTAGTTGGTGTTGCACTATATACATTTTACCATATTAGGGATTACCTCAGTCACAAGTCAAGTCAAAACCTGTACACACATACATACATAGAGAATGCCAAGCATGGGCATGTTAACACATCTCAGTGACTTTTTTTAATCAAAATTTGATCAAATCAAATGATTTAAATATATTATTAATTGCTAGATCAGTTATAAGGGAATTGATACATTTTCTGTTTGGTGATCAAAAGATCACAGAAGACAAAAATTAAACTAAAGAAATAACCACACCAGCGCAGCTTTTATTATTATTATTAAATGGCCTTTCTCCATTGTTTAATGCCTTGTAGCGTTTCTGATCCTTTCTTATCCAGAGTTGAGGAAAAAAAAGAAATAGGGTTCTGGGTTTATTCACCTAACCCACCACAATAGGACAAAAAGCTCTTTATCAGAAAACATTGGTGGCTCTTAAAAGAGCCTGTGTGGCAGCTGAAAGCTTCATAAGCTCTACTTGGAGCTGGTGTACTTGGTGACGGCCTTGGTGCCTCAGACACGGGTGTTTGGCCAGCTCTCCGGGCAGCAGCAGACGCACGGCGGTCTTAGTGACGGCCTTCTTGGAGCCCTTCTTGGGAGCGGATTTCGCGGGTTCAGGCATGTTAACTCGCGATGAACAACACAATACAATATCGTTCACGGTCATGTACTGGATATTTATTGAAAGCTCATGCTAATTTATGAAGGCAGGGTTGCCTTTCCCTGATTGGGTCTTTTTGCAAAATGAATGAAAGAAACAATTTCATTGGTTAGAAATGGGCCGCTAGACAGACATATCCGCCAATCACAGGCTTCTAAATTTGAACGCTTCCCGTCGCCTCCCCCACGCACGCGTCTCTGACTTTCCCGCTCAATGTTTTTGTGAGAATCACAATCACGAAGAAAAAAAGTAAAACTTTTATTATTTTCCATACTAATGTGCACATTTAATTAACTCTTGGAGAAAACACGGATTTCAGTGAATGAATCAACTTAAGCTCGAGATTAAGGCAAAAACGCCTTTATGTTTTAGTGTGCTAAAGCTATTTTTACTTCAGTATGAAGATCTTAAAGAACTCCGACTGCGTGCTTTTGTAAAATGACTACCAAGTAATACACAGACTATTATGAAATGCGCTCTTTTTGAAAATGTGGGTGGCTCTTAAAAGAGCCGTTGGGTTTTTGTGTAGAAATATAACGTTGTTTATCCTCCGAAGCCGTACAGAGTGCGTCCCTGCCGCTTCAGCGCGTACACCACGTCCATGGCGGTGACGGTCTTTCTCTTGGCGTGCTCGGTGTAGGTGACGGCGTCGCGGATCACGTTCTCCAGGAACACCTTCAGCACACCGCGGGTCTCCTCGTAGATCAGACCGGAGATGCGCTTGACGCCGCCGCGGCGCGCGAGGCGACGGATGGCGGGTTTGGTGATGCCCTGGATGTTATCCCGCAGCACTTTACGGTGGCGCTTAGCGCCTCCTTTCCCGAGCCCTTTCCCGCCTTTGCCTCTTCCAGACATGCTTGTAGACTCTCAAGCTTCTACGTTGTACAACGGAACTTCTGATGTGACTGTAGCTGAAGCTGTGCGTGAAGACCTTTACAGTAGCCTACAGGACCTAATTGAAACACAAGAAGGCGGAGCTACGCGACATCATACGACACACGTCATTCAGTCACATGGCGATTTAGCAACTTTTAGCAACAAATCGACCTTCCTTTAGCAACTTCCCCTGAAAATTAGTTGGCAACACTGGTTACAGGGCTCCTGCAGTATGCTCTGTACATACAGTTTACAAGTCTGACCGTTCAGCAAATTCTACACAATTTATTTAACATTAAACTATGCACCCAAGCTTTCCAAAGAGAGATTAGTATCCACTGCCTGCTCAAACTTCTCAAAAGCTTCGAAACATGTTATTGCTAATATGTTATTATTAGTTTAATGCAGGAATTACCCGTCCATTCTTCAGTCCCTCTGTCCTCTGCAGGGTCACGGGGATACTGGAGCTCATTCTAGTGTCTTGGGCCACAGGCGAAGAAAACCCTGGACAGATGCAGGAAATATCAACATTTGATATATATTTCCTGCAATCTTCAGCCAAAAGAGTGTTGAAGTTACAGTGTGGCCCTGCAGCAAACAAACCATCATAACTTGAAATGCTTCATTTTGATGAAACAGACGTGCATCATATTTAGGTAAGGGGCTAACATAAACTGAAAATAGAAATTGAACAGATCCAAATGATGGCCACCAACCATTAAGCAAACAATAATTTTAATATCAACTGACCAAAAATGGTGATTTATCAACAGGGTCATATATCAATTTTTTTGTGTGAATTGACCACAAGGTGGCACTTTAATGGCTGAACATGTAATTTGTTTTGATATTGGATATGGAGCAGCTGAGTGTCAGTTCTTACAATAAGTTCGAGAGGTTGTTGAATCGATCGATTTATTTATTTATTGTTTGTTTGTACGTTCATGCTAAGTAGTTTAAGTACTCCCCCCTATTTATTAAATTTTTATTTATTTACTCAAAAGTCGGTAATTTTAAGTTTATTCTTGTTCGATTTTACATAATTATATATATATATATATATAAAATGCCACAACCTGAACAAGACGCTGGAAAACTGAAAGAGGCTTTGTGATTGGTTAATGTGTCATCGAGGTCAGCTCTGATTGGTCGATCTCATTTCGGTTTGCTCATCAGTTTGTGTTGCTGACGGTAACTTGTCTGAAATGTGTCTGCGTTCGCTGACAAACTCCAGTAAATGTTCTGTTTACCACGTTACCACCCTGTACATAATTATATGAGGTAAGCTTAACCTCCTTCCTCTTTCAAGACGGCGTTATGATTAAATCTGCAGTGTTTTTGTTCTGTTTTAGAGCTGTTAGCAATAACGAGTCTCAGGCGCTGACAGAAAATATTAGCTAATATTAGCACTCGTATTGTAATTGTTCATATTCTGCATCATCGAAACATTTATGTATACACAAATAATCAAATATCACTCTTGATCAGTCATTTATCCCGTGCAGTTTGTGGTTTTGTATATGGCTAGTTAGCTTCGGTTGCTATTTCCATCGTCAGTCATGAAATACAGCATGTTTTATTACGTCTACGTTAGTGTTAAAAGACCAATTATATGTGCTCTGAATACACAAATAATCAAATATCACTCTTGATCAGTCATTTATCCCGTGCAGTTTGTGGTTTTGTATATGGCTAGTTAGCTTCGGTTGCTATTTCCATCGTCAGTCATGAAATACAGCATGTTTTATTACGTGTAACGTTACGTTAGTGTTAAAAGACATTATATGTGCTCTGAATCAGCGTCAGGCTCAGATGAGGATTTCTCACTGAAACTCTCATATGCGTGTCATATAGAAAAAATATATATGCATAGGTAACTTACTATAAACATATGTACGTGTCTGACGGTATTGTATTTGAGGCTTCTGATGTTATGTTTTCCTTGAATTGTGTTTTATAAAATATTATCAGCATTTCTAGAGTATGAATTTTAAGGAATATTAGTGTTTATAATGAATACGATGTTTATGATTGTACAATATGAACATAACTGTTATAATGGTCATATTGATTTGCAACGGGGCACGTGATTATGTTATGAACTGAAACTTGGCCTGATATTTTCAGTTTTTATTTGCTGTATGCGAAGCAACATTATTTAATTAGAAAAAAAAAATAATGAAGTGAATGAATGAAGTTAATTAGAAAAAAAAGTGAAAATAAATAAATAAACAAACACACATATCGTGTTGGTATAGTTGAAAAATGGACACCAATATTTTGGGATGAAATTTGTATATACATGTGTATATGAGCAAATGTTTTTAATAAGTGTAAACTGGTCTATTTATTTTCACCACTTTTAATGAAAATGTTTTAATATGAAAATATCAGTTTGGGGTTTAGCCTATATGATCAAAATTGTAAGAATTCCTTAGAGATTGTCCATTAGAAATTGATTTTGTAAATCCCACTACATAAATAAATAACTAGTGACAAAATACAACATTTTTGAGCAATATTCAAATTCTTGACCGGTTTGAAATAAAAAAAGCAGTGCAATCAATTTG